ATTGCATGCAGAGCAATATTAATTATATATATATATTTTTTTTTTAATATTAAAAAGATATTGCAAAATGCAAAACTTTAAATAATTGCAGCAAGTCATTGCGGTATCTAACCGAATTATTGCTCGTGACATCGTTTCACTGCAAACTTTCGTGGAAATTTAATATTAATACGCAATTTTGCTCACTGTCTCGTAGATATAGTCGCACATATGTGTCTGCTAGAATCTAATATTTATATGGATATAACAGGGAGATACAAATGACGATAACGTGCTCTTCTTTCTCGCCTTCTTAAAGTGCATAAGATATAGTACGTGTTGAAACTTTTCCAAGTTTTTCCGGTGTCATTTGTCAAACTCAAACTTTATATTTTTTACCTTATGACCAGTATTTATAATGTAACTTTAACATTTTACAATATTGTTATATTTTTAATCATTATTAATCAATATATCTAGATAGAAGTCAACACAATATAACGATTTACATTTGGAAAAAAAAACTTCTTATTTCAAATTCTAAAAATTATATCAACAATAATTGTTCTATGAATATTTAATCGCTTAATAAAGTGCTGTGATATAAATTCTATTACAATCAAACAAAATCACGAGTCTCAATCTCTCAAACTCTTAATCTCGGAGTGAAACGAAAGAAAGAAATTACAAATTTATAATATTATGTAACAACTTTATCATGTGATTTATTTATGAATATTATTGACTAATTATTTTTTGCTGACGCACAATTCTATATACCTATCTCTTATTTGATAAAATTTTAGAAATGCATAGATGTTCGACGACTACAGCAAATGCAGATAGCTGCTGCCATATCAATTCGCAGTGCACTGAAATTTCTAGACATTGCAGAATTTTTTCATCGTATGTATCCTCATGCAATCGCGTACAGTAATCCCTTACTCCTGAAAATCGCTAAAGTAATTTGTTTAGAGCATCCCATATACGGGCTATATGTCATGGTCGTGGAATAATGCATGAGTGCATCGAATTATCTTCAGACGTACCGGTGCTGTATCCCGTTAAAAATTCATAAATGATAATGTATTCTGTTTTATGTATTACACGGAAGGAAAAAAGAATTAACGGGAAATTGTCTATATCAATGAAATACGTTCGTTATTTATTTAGATAATTTGTTCATATGTTAAATAGCGTGACGTTGCGATTATTATGTTATTTTTAACGTAATGATGTTTCTAAGCGAAATACATTTATCTAAAAATAATTTTCAAGTTAATTGCAACCTAGTTGTCTTAGATGACTCGATAACAGTTACGTAAAATATAAAACGATAAAAACCGTATTATTTTTGCATAATCTTTTAATTTCCAAATGTTTAATTATAATTATACTCGACATTTTCTTATCATCATCATTCGTAACATTGACGTATACGTTTAATATTTTTCTAATTTTTACATTTAATTAGAATAGCTTTTTAATAAATATCTGATATGTTCGAACGTGCATAAATAGAAATATCTTGCATAAATAGTTAAAGCTAAATTTGGATTGATTGTATTACTGGCATTGCATCAGCTTTCAAATTAAGCGCGAACGCTTGGCATACTACTTATAATTTGTTTGACAAAGTAATAAGCTCTTACCATAAGATATTTATTTGATGAGAACGCATTTGTGGCTGCAAAAAAAGTTTGGTGCGAACACCGATGCAGATATGAATGCAACGTCGCGTTACAGGATGGATTCTAATGGGGACAAACGTCACTAGTGCGACTTCTTCTTCCACATTCGTTACTTATAGCTACGCGTATATATTCTGTATTATAATCGAAATATCCAATGAAGAATATTCCCGACGATTTATGAAATAAGTCGCACGAGAAACTTCCATTAATTGCATCAACCGGCAATGTCGAGAATATTTTATTTAAAAATGTCTGGCTGGCAGATCAATAACATGTTTTTTGGCGTGATAATTAGTAAAACAAATATATCGATATATTTCTTTAATATGACATAATATTGTAGAAAGATATATAAAAATATAGTTTTAATATTAGAAGTTTGTGTGTACGTGACGGTAGTGCTTCAATTGCAGCTAATTATTAGAAAAACCCGTATCCTAATTAGCGTACAGATTAAAATAGATAGTTATTTTTGTATCTCTAAATCATTTTCCTTGAAAATTGTGCAACCAATTTAAAGAATTTATTCTATATGTTTTTCTTCTTTTCTTACA